TTTAATGGATTTTGGCCCTTTGTCAAAGATCAGCTGACCATAGGTCAATGGATCTATTTCTGGGTTCTCAATTCTATTCCATTGATCTATGTGTCTGTCATTGTACCAATACTAGGCTGTTTGGATTACTGTGGCTGTATAGTAGATTTTGAGATCCAGAAGTGTGAGACCTCCTACTTTGTTCTTCTTCAATCATGCCTTGCTTATCCAAGGTCTCTTTCCTTTCCATATAAAATTGGTGATTAGTTTTTCCATATCTTTAAAGAATATTGATGGGCTCTGAATTGGGATTGCATTGAATGTATAGATTGCTTTGGGTAGAAATGACATTTTCACAATGTTCAATCTTCCTATCCACGAGCATGATATGTGCTTCCATTTATGTAGATCTCTTGTGGTTTCTTGAAATAGTCTTTTGTAGTTTTTTTTTTTATTTGCAGATCTTTTGTTTCCCTAGTGAGATTTATTCCCTTTTTTTTTTTTTTTTGGTAGCTATTGTAAATGGTAGGAGCTCTGGTAGTGTAGCAATTGACTGCTAACCAGAAGGCTGGTGGTTCAAACCCACCAGCCACTCCTTGGAAGGAAGTTTGGGCAATCTACTTCCATAGTGATACTGCCTCAGAAACCCAAGGAGGAGTCACTATGAGTTGGGTCCAACTCGACGGCATATAACAATAATAACAATAACAATAGTAAATGGTATTGATTTCCTTATTTCTTTTTCAGCAATTTTTTTGATGATGTAGAGGAATCCAACTGATTTTTGTATGTTTATCTTGTATCCTGCCACTATGCTAAATCTCTCAATTAGTCCAGTAGTGTTTTTTTTACTGAGTCTCTTGGGTTTTCTATGTGTAGGATCATATCATCAGCAAATAGGGATAGTTTGACTTCTTTCTCACCAATTCAGATGCCTTTGATTTCCTTTTCTTGCCTTATTGCCCTGGCTAGGACTTTCAATACAATGTTGAATGGAAATGGTGATAGAGGGCATCCTTGTCTGGTTCCTTTTGCCAGGGGAATTGTTTCAGTCTCTCTCCATTGAGTATAATGTTGGCTGTTGGTTTTGCATGTATGCCCTTTATTATGTTGAGGAATGTCTTTTCTATTACTATTTTGCTGAGAGTTTTGAACAGGAATAGCTGTTAGATTTTATCAAATGCCTTTTCTACATTGATTGATATGATCATGTGGTTCTTTTTCTTTATTTATGTGATG